GATCTAGGTAGTCCATCAATGAATCCATAGTCATCTCTTCCCACACCATCTCAGGTAATGCTAAAGGTTGTAGAAGATAACCTGGAGCCATAGCCAAGTATTTGTGTCTCTGCACACATCACAACTAACTACCAACTCTTCTACACCCTTATGCATACCCGCCCAGTATAGCTCCGCTGCCAGTCTATGATATATCTTCTGAACTCCTAAATGTCTCTAATAGTTGTGCCATGAAACTCCTACAACAAGTGAGGGATGTGTGGCAATGTCCTCGAAAGCATAAACCACTTCTGGTATATCAGTTTCTGACCCATCAAAGAGTAACCAGGATAGTTATCCTTATTTTGCAGTAAGTTTCCTCTGATCTTACTTAGCTTCTCTCATGCTTCAAGGCCTCCCATTCCACCACCATTGAAACATATAGAGCCATAACCTAAGGGCCTTCATTACGCCTGGAGAGAGCATATGAAGCTTTATTTTCTAGCTCGAGCTTGTACTGGATCTCGAAGTCATAACCCAACAACTTGGAAAGCCACCACCGATGCTCCTCTGTCACCATCATCTGCTCTAACATGAACTTCAAACTTCTCTGGTCGGTCCTGACTATGAAGTGTCACCCCAACATGTAAGGTCGTCACTTCTATATTACCAACACTATTATTATCTGCTCCCTTTCATACATTGATTTTAGTTTGGCCTAATCGGTCAATACTTGGATGAAATAAGCTATGGGACTCTAACTTTTGCATGAGAACAGTTTCCACTACAAACGACTGGCTGAAATTTGGTAGTGCGAACATAGGGGTACTTGTCATGACTTTCATCAGTTGCTCAAATGTCAGGGTGGCTGCCAACCCCCCATTTGAAACTATCATTCTTCAGTTGTTTTGTCAACGATCATGCTATAGAACTGTATCCCTTCACAAATTTTATGTAGTACCCTGTGAGTCCGAAGAACCCCCTCAAATCCTTCATGTTTTTTGTTAAGGGCCACGCTAACATAGTCTCTATCTTGGAAAGATCTGCAGCTACTCCTAATTTGGGCGCCACATGTCACTAACACGACCCTCAAGTGCTTCACATGCTCTGCCTCAAACCAATTATACACCAAACATCATCGAAGAAAATCAATACGAACTTGTAGAGGTAAGGCTGGAATACCTTATTCATAAGCGATTAGAAGATAGTTGGGGCGTTGGTAAACCCAAAATGCATCACTAAGGACTCGTAGTGGCCTTCATGAGTCCTAAAGGAAGTCTTTTGGATGTCAGCGGGCCACATTCTAATTTGATTGTATCCCAATTTTAGATCAATCTTGGAGAACATAACCACTCGATATAACTCATCCAATAACTCATCAATGACCGATATAGGAAACTTATCCAACAATGTTTCCTTATTCAAAGCCCGGTAATCTACATAAAATCTCCAACTACCATCCTTCTTCACCAACAACACATGACTGGATAAGGAACTAACACTAGGATGAATGATCTGAGCCTCTAACTTATCCTTGATCAGTCTCTCAACTTCATCCTTCTGAACCTGTGGGTACTGATAGGGTTGAACACTAATAAGGGATACCCCCTCCTTTAGGATGATGGCATGCTCATGATCCCTTGGGGGAAGTTGGCCTTGAGGCAGTTGGAACATCTCACCGAATTGTTGTAGGAGCGGCTGGACTATCTCTGGAACTTCCTCCTCTTTATCCATGCTTCCCCTTCCCTCGAGGCTCTAGTGCTCCACCAATAATCTCATCTCTGCTCCCCGGATTGCCCTCACCATGGTCTTAAGAAAAACTCTAGTTTTGGATAGGTTAGAATCCCCCTTGATCCTCACCTTCCTCTCTCTCATCATGAATTCCATAATCAATGCTTTCCAGTCCACCTTGGGTTCCCTCAATATCTGCAACCACTTAATGTCTAAAATTACATTTGTGCTCCCTAACTCCCAGGGAAGAAAAATTTTCTTCACCTAAATCTCCTGTAGTGTCACCATCAATCATGGGCAGATGCATTTACTCTTCTGCATCTTCCATGTTCCCATCATCACCCAAAACAGCATGTTTGATTAGCTTTAGCCCCAATTGGCACACCACCTAGTTGGAGATAAAGTTGTGGGTCACCCCACTGTCAACCAGAACTACCACTAATTCTCCTCTTATTTATCCCTCACCTTCATGATGTGATTTGAGGTAAACCCATCATTGAGTTTAGGGAGACCTTCGTCACATTCAGGTGCAAATATCCCTCCTCCTCATCACTGACTGTAAGTACCTGCAGCGAACGGTCCTTGTAGAGGTGGCCCAGTTCAAGCTTCTCATCACAACAAAAACACAATCCCCTAGCCCGATTCTCTTGAACCTTTGCCTCAGTCAGTCACTTGAAATTTCCCCCCTAGTCGTGCTTCCAATCCCATATCCTTGGGTACTTCTCTCTAAATGGGCACAGATTATACCCTTGGTTACCAAAAAATAGTCATCGTTTGGCATGAAGCTCCCAAACTGTTGCCCCTCGCTGCTTCTCTCGAGTGAGTTTTTGTCCTCCACCAATTGGGCTAATTCCATAGCCTCCCCCAACCCACCTGGCTTCAATAATCGGACAACCACCTTGATCTCTTGCTTAAGTACTTTCATGAAATTTTCCTCCAACACTATCTCAGAAAGCCTCCCCAATTGGCTAGAAAGGTGCTCAAACCTCTCCCAATAATCCATCATTGTCCATTCCTGAACTAGAGCAAAGAACTGCTTATAGAAGTCTCATTCCTGATTGGTTCGGAAACGTTCTAATAAACTATCTTTGAACTCTCCCACTATCGGATTGGTTTTCTCATGTCTCTCTACTAATACCAAGACAAGGCCTTGCCCTCCAAGCATAAAGTCGCCGTCGTGAGTCTCTCCTCCTCCGTTAGCCTATTCAATGCAAAGTACCTTGCCACCCTATAGATCCACCGTTGAACATATTCCTCCTAAAAAATGGGCATCTTCAGCTTTCTTACTCTCGGATCCCCTCCACCCCAACTTCCTCTTCCACCTTCTACTCCTTCCATATAGTGATTGTTGTGATCTCTCCATTGTTCTCTTCCACTCATCCTCCTTTCATAAATATCTTCCTCAAAATCAACCCTCCTTATTTCTTCCTCCCAATTTCTCTTCATGCTATATCCTTCACTCATTTCCCTCTTGGTTATCGGTTCAAGAGGTGGCATATTTTCCCTGTCTCCCAGGATTTCTACCTCTCGATCATCCCTCATTGTGCCAATATTGAGGTTTCCCCCACTTCATTGGCTAGCGGCCGGTGCCCTTGCCTCCGATGTTGCCGGTTGGGTGTGAAGCTTCAATATTTTCTTCATCACGCCCTCTAGGTTAGAAAACATTCCTTTCATGGATGAAATCATTTCCTCAACTTCAGATTTGAATTGACCACTATGATGCACCGACACATCTCCTCAAAGAGGCGTGCAGTGTCTGACACCGTGTCCGACATGACACTCGCCCGACACTCCTCCGACACGTGTCAGACATACTGAAAACGTGTCCGATTAATAAATATTAAATACAAATTGGACACGCGTGTCTTAAATATTTTATAAATTTTTTTAAATATAATTTCTTTTATTTGGCTGGATTTAAAATAAATTTCTTATTTCATATCCACAACACCAAATCAACGTCCGCACTTAATATTCAATCATCGAATGTTCTCATTTTCATTTCTTTTTGGCAGTGAAGGTATTTTCATCTCCTCTCTCGGTGACTAATAAACAGCATCGATGCCTGACTCTCGACATTCTAATAATAATCATTTTTAGCACAAATTTTAGTTAAATGACTTATTATTTTCAAATTATTTTTTAAATTATACTTATTTAATTTTTATACACTATTTTTTAAATATAAAAACTATAATAACGTGTCCAACCCGTGTCAGTGTCCTATATTTTCAATAACTGACGTGTCCCGTGTCCGTGTCGTGTCGTGTCCGTGTCGCCGTGTCTGTGTCTGTGCATCATAGATTGACCAACTTCTCCTTCCAGTTTCTCTTCCAAAGCATTCACTTTCTTCGACGTTATAGGCCCCTTGATAGGACTTGATGATCAAAACTAAACCCTAAATAATATAAAAAACAACAACTTACTTCAAATAGATCAAGAAATAACATCAAGAGAGCTATTTTTATTAATTTCCAAGCAAAGTTAGACAATATATAAGTTGATTCACTGTTCTAAAGGTGAATCACATCTCCCTTAATTCCTAGCCGTTATTAGGAACCCAATCACCTCACAAAAACTGCTGCATAAATTCAAAACATTACGTCCCCCCTAACCCTCTATAATCTCCCCCTTTAAATAGCCCAAATCCCCTAATAAATGCCTCTAACATCTTTCTCAAAGAGTTCCCCCCCAAAGCCTCTTCTCCTATAGTTGATAAAAGAGATTCTGGGTCAGCTGGGCTGCTGCCAGCCGCATCAGCTTCTTTGTGTATAATAATTAAAAAGTAAATGTTTGGAAACTTGTATTTGATAGAGAGTTAAATATGAATAAAGTAGTAACTTGAAACTGTGGTTTTTGTGGAAACAAATGCATATAACAGATTGATATTTGCCTGGATCTCGCACAATACATAGTGGAGTTACTAATGTTAAAAACAATACTTGATACACTTGAACATGATGCACACAAATCATGTTTTTTGGACAGCTCGTACTATGATAAAATTATGCTCTCCTTAGGCCACATTTTATATGCCTGCTCGTTTATATTCTCTGGAATATCATCTATTGAAATGTCGTGTGTATACTGCCTTTGAAATCATGTTATGTGTATGTAATATGGTGGGTTGGCTACTGGTGGAAACCATGGCTTTTCTCAAAAACGTTTATGCTCTCATTAACTGGAACCACTTGTCAAATTGCAAATAATGAGTGCTATCTTTTAAGATAAGAATTTTCTACTTTCCTTATTGAATTTAAGAATTTTATCTGATAATTTTTTATCGATAGGTGAAAGATCCCTCTGGCAATCAAATTTATGATTTTCGTGACAAGATAAGTGATAAATTTGAATTCATAGTTCGGAAGAAAGGTCTTCATCGCTTTTGCTTCACCAACAAGTCTCCATATCATGAAACAATAGATTTTGATGTTCATGTTGGCCACTTCACATATATGGAGCAACACGCAAAGGATGGTAAGTTCTGCAGGCTTACCAGTTTCTTCATTCCATCATTCTCATCTTATGCTGTACTGAAAAATATGCAGAGCACTTCTCCCCTCTGCTCGAACAAATCAACAAGTTAGAAGAATCTCTCTACAACATTCAGTTTGAGCAGCATTGGCTAGAGGCTCAGACCGAACGTCAAGCACTTGGTAGATCTCTTTTGGTCTTAAATTTAAAACATTTTTTTTTCATCTAATCATCTTAAAGAAGCTTCAAACTCCTAATTTTTTTAAGATGAGTATATTATCTAAAAGTTGATTGGTTATTCATATATTGTTTTTATCTTAAAGTGAATATAAGAGTTTTAATATCCATCATGATTAAACTTTGATCAGATGCAGAGCATCTTAGTTAAATTATTCTTTTGGCATATGTTAATTAGTTTGTTGCAAGTTTGTTTAGGGTTGTCAAAATCGGGTCACGAGTCGGGTTCGGGTCCAATCTAAAACTCTGACCCGACTGTTCGGAAAAACGGGTCGATTTTTCAAACCCGAACCCAGCCCGCTAAGTTTGTTATAGGATTCTAGAATATTTTTGATTTCTCTAGGTTTCTCTAGGCTTTTCTTAGTAGCTTATAAATATATCAGCTGTACGAAGAAAGAGGGAATGAATATATTTTTGGGAATTTAGCAGTGCCGTCACTGTTTATGTGTTCTAGTTCCGAGGAGCTTTATTTGAAATACTTCATCCAATGATCTCCCTACATCATGATCCCCAATTTTTATTTGTTTTTCATGTCCAAAGAGCATTCTATTGCCAATTTTATACAACTAACTGAAATATTTGGTGTGCAGTGAATGAAGGGATGAGCAGACGTGCAATCCATAAGGCGCTTTTTGAATCTGCAGCACTGATTGGAGCTAGTGTTCTGCAAGTCTATCTCCTCCGGCGCCTTTTTGAGAGAAAGCTTGGAACCTCTAGGGTTTAGGCACACAGGACAGGAGCTTGCATCTTTATCTGAATTCCTAGTCTTCTCCAAACCTCTTGACTTAGTTTTGTGGTTTCTCATAGCAAATGAGCATCTTTCAAGGAATATGCACGTCTTGTTTGGCTTTTTTCAGTGCTTCCCTTGTATAATAACCAGGTACTTCATGTAATTTCTCTTTTGGTTGCTAAGTAAATGAGAAGTTAGATACTTGTCACCAGAAATTTCACAGGATAATTACATCAAGAAGGCAGGTCAACAGACCGCTGATGCCAGCAGCCTATCACACGAGAAATTATTGTGCGGAGACAGAATGCGGAATGTCATCCAGAGACCAACCAGAATGTGCCACGTCAACGGTACCGAGCCGCGGTACCGAGCAGTACTGAGCCGAGGTACCGAGTACATGGGTGATGTGGCCATTCTGGTTAGTCTCCGGACGGCGTTCGACATCCACATAAAAAAATGTTTCCTATCAAACACACCCTCCTTGCCTTATTGTTTAAACTCTGCAGATTGAAACTTCTACATTTTATCAGCAGTAGCAACACAGCATGTTTTGTATTTTAAAGGTAGATGCATTTGGTATGATTAAAATCAAACTTAGAATGATCCAAACTCTAGTTACATTGTACTTACAATAAAACGGAGCATCTTGAAAAGGCAAATATAATGACATCAAAATTGATTTGATTTGAGTCCAAATGAGATCAAATCAAGCACTTGAAGAAGTTAGAAATTTTAGGACATTGATTGAAAGATCAAATGATCTTTAAAATTTGTATGCTCAAGTCAAATCAAGTGGCTCGATGATACAAATCTAACCAGATCAATATAACTGAATTATGAGGTTATTATAGCAATTCAATTCTGATTGAATGAGATATTATCAAATGAATCAACATACGTCATACGATGAAGCTTTATGAAATTTGGCCAAATTCTTCAAAATGCTATTCCAAAAATACTATAATTTTTTTTTTTTTGTTAAATATGTTTATATTAGATCTTCTCGAAAAATTATAACTAAAAAATTCTCTCTATTGTCATGAGTTTTTTAACATTCTATAAATTATGAATATAAATGAAAAATAAAGGTCGTACAACCACGCAAAAATTTGTTTCTTTAAAATTAAAATATATTTTAAATTTTATTTTTTGAAGTTAATTTTATTGGATTTACATAATTAAAATTCATCATCTCGAGTAAAAATTTATTAGAATCAGAATCCAAACAACTTTTGAATTGCTTTTCAAATTTAACTTATAATCTTAATTTAATTCCTTAACGATTTCTTTTTTTTTTTTTTTTTTTTGAAAATTTTTTTTTTTTTTTTTTGGAAAATTAACGATTTCTAGCACGTGGATAAACCTTAGGCACTAATTAATATATTGACTCATAAAAACAATTATTATATCGTAAATCTACAAAGTGCAAAGTAGTGCTGTAACTCGTTAAAATTTCTTGAATATCACAGCCAAATTATTCAGCAAATACTTATTTTTGTACTTGCTGTAGTTTTATTAGATAATTCTTTCGGCTCAGAAAATTATCTTATAAATATCTTGGATATTGTGAGATAAAAAATTTTAAGTACAAATTTGAGGTCATTGAAAAAAATGATGTATGATTAAGGCTTCATTTGGGACGGTTTTATTAACTGCTTCATAAAGCAATTTTTTAACAAAAATTAAAATTTTTATACTTAAAAACTGCTTTAAAAAGCAGAAAGAAAATCGTCCCAAACGAAGCTTAAATAGATCAACAAAAGCCATTAAATGGAGCGGTTATAAATTTTGACAGGATTTACCAAATTGCTCCTGCAATCTTCATATGCACGGGAGCTTTGACTTGGATTTAAAATTGAAGAGATCTTAGAGATATAATTTTTTTTTTTAGATTTGTCCGACTTTTTACGCTAATGATAATTGCTAGTGATTGTTGTCGTCCGATCGCCGGCACCCCCTGATGTCGCCCTATCATTATTACCTCTTTATCATCACTCGACCAACATCAACCGAGCACCTTCATCATCTGACTCTCGTTGCTCAATTACTATCACTTGTCCACCTCACCTAATCATCATAGTTCAACTTTTGACATCTTGTCATCAATATCTCATTAATATTATCCGATCATGATCATCCCTCTTTTACTTCTCCAACATTCTCGACTATCATCGCAAGAAATCAAATCGGTGATCTAAGCTCTGTAACCCCATCTCCTTCAATAAAGGATAATGTTGATATTTGTAATATTTATTTCTACAATAGATCATTTGATTTATATCATGCCTTGTAATCTCTATTTACATAGTATATCATTTCATTTATATTAGATTTTATAATTCTTTTTTTTTTCCTTTTTAGGTTTTTTTTTTTTAAAATTTTAATCCTTTTTAGTGCACAATTAATATGCTAAACTTATTTTATCATCCTAAATTTTCTAATACATAACATATATGTATCTTATTTATTTTATAAACTGTCATTCCTTTATTTTTGATTTATCAAATTTTATTAAAATATTATAATTCATAATTAAATTTAATTTTTTTTTCACCTTATTAATATATTTAACTTTTTAAAATACAAAACTTGCCGTGTTACATCTGCGGATAAAATGTAGAACGTAGAAGGTTCTCTGCAGAGCTTAAGCCACGGAGGCGAAGAGGGTGTGTGTGATGGCAAATTATTGGGTCAGGTGACCGAACGCAGAGATAGGTTCGGATAATAATAAAATATTATTTTAAAATTAGCGCAACTAAAGCGCAACCAAAGCGCAACTAAAGCGCAACCAAAGCGCAACTAAAGCGCAAGTCAAAAAGCACAACTAAAGCGCAACTAAAGCGCAACCAAAGCGCAACTAAAGCGCAAGTCAAAAAGCGCAACTAAAGCGCAAGATGACGCGGCAAATTTTTATTGACTGTCCGAACTTATCTTTTGGCTCCGGTCACCTGACCCAATAATTTGCCGTGTGTGATAGGCGCTGGCATCAGCGGTCTGTTGACCTGCAAATATCTTCTCCAGAAGGGCTTCCATCCGGTGGTCTTCGAGGCCGACAACTCCATCGGTGGCGTTTGGGCCAAAAACACTCTTGATTCAACCCGCCTCCAGTCACCGACATCAGCCTACCGCTTCTCGGACTTCCCATGGCCGGAGACGGTCATCAGAAATGGAATGCCCCATCAGAAGGAGGTTATGAAGTACATAGCAGATTACGCTCGCCATTTTGATCTTCTCCGCTATGTAAGGCTCGGGGAGAAGGTGGTGAGATTGGAGTATGTCGGCGTGGCGGAGGAGGAGATGGGAGGATGGAAACTATGGGGTGGCACCGGCCAAGCCTTTGCCGGCGCCGGCGGTGGTCCTGGAGTTTGGCATGTCACTGTGCAGCGAGCTGAGGATGGCTCTGTCGAGGTATGTAATTTCTATGGTTGCTGATAAGCTTCGTTGCAAGCAGTTACAGAATTCTTTAATTAAGTGATAAATGTATATAGTCATGATTAATCATAAACTTTTTTTTGGGATCAAATTCTCTGATGTCCCGTGCCTGACCGCCAATATTTTTTTACTCTTTTTTTTTTTATGGTAATATAAAATTTCAAAAATTATTTTGAGACTCATAATTCAACATATTTAGCTGTGAAAAGCTCAATTTCATTATCAAAATTTTTGAAAAAACAATAAGAACATTATACAAACTAGAAATGTGGTAGCCGCCTGTAAATTAAAGTTATGATAATGCTTCACATCTTCGAACTGTAGCTCTAAACATTGCAATTTATAAACAATCAATCACTTTCACTTTGTGACGTGTTCAAATTTGAGTCATTTGACTATAAACAATTAACCATACCTTATCCTGTCAAAAGGTCGACATGTTCGATGGATCTATTGACCTTGCGATCCTGATCTGCAACATTGTCGATTGTTTGTCTTAATGAAAAATCAAAAGCTGATGAAATGATCTAAACCATGACAGGTGCAAATTGTAGACTTTGTGGTACTCTGCTTGGGCAGATTCTGTGATCTTCCAAATATCCCCAGTTTGCCGAATAACAAAGGTCCTGAGGTCTTTGATGGCAAGGTTATGCACTCCATGGAGATAGCCAAAGTGGGCAGTGCAGCAGCTGCTGATCTTATCAAAGGAAAGCGTGTTGTCATCGTCGGTTATCTTAAATCAGCACTTGATGTTGCTGCAGAATGCTCTAATATCAATGGTACATCTAATCTTCATCATCGTCATTGGCCTTATGTTTTTGCTACATTTGTTGAATTTTGTAAATGCAAGCCTACTGCTTGCGATGTTTGATTGATTGTTCTCTCGGTAACTTCCTTGGAAAATTTTAAATATTTTATCTTGGTGCTCATTTGGTTATTGCTTGTAGAAAAAAAAAATGCACTTTTACGAGTGATGGTTTCATTCTTTATGTTGTGTTCATACTTGATATGTCATCAAAAAATTATCTTGGTCGAGCATGAATCTCAATGCAAATATGAATAGGAAATTTCTAAAATTATATTCGTGACCATCTGAGCTCTGATTTCAGCAAACTTATAGTCAAACTGAATGTCTCAAAAAGATAAACCCATTGACACCAAAATCGGTTAATTTGAACCCAAATGGGTCCAAATCGAGGGCCTGAATTATTTGGAAGCTTCAGAATCAGTTGATCAAATGACATCAAAATGTGCATGCTTATAGTCAAATCGAGTGGTTTGACGAGACGAATTCAACGAGCCCAAGATCATTGAATTGTAACTTCATTAAGACACTCAAATGCTAAAATAATGATCCATGCCTGAGGGAGTTGATATCGGCTGTCCATTAAAACACTCCCAACATGCCATTGATTTTCTCTCCATTTACTAGTCATGTCACTCTAAAAAAACTAAAAATAAACCCCTCATTCCTCACAAAAGGGAGAGGATAAGAGATGAAAAATGAAGGATCTCTCTTACTTTCTCAAGCTTGTACCGCCCGACCACCTATTGCCGTCCGACTTCCACCTGGCCGCTGATCGCCATCGGACTTCCTTTTTACCACCATCACCCGACTACGGCCTACTCCGATCACCGTCCCACACTGACTTAGATCCACTCTGACAACCATCGCTTGTCTACTATGGTCCTTCCGACCACCTTTGCCCGCCAACTATAGTTTACTCCGACCACCATTTCCTAACTACGGTCCACTCCAACCGTCATCGTATGCTGACTACAGTCCTTCCGACTACCGTCACCTGACTACGGTCCACTATGACCACCATCGCTCATCGACTACGGTCCTTTCGACCATTATCGCCCACCGACTATGGTCCACTCCGACCACCATCGCCCACTAACTCTGGTCCTTCCAACCTTTATCGTCCGTCAATTACGATCCTTCCGACCACCGTCGCTTGCCGACTATGGTCCCTTCTATCATCGTATCCCGTCAACTACGGTCCACTTCGACCATTGAGGCTTGCGACTACGTTCCTTTCGACCACAGCCTCCCGCTGACTATAATCCTTTTGACCTTTGTCACCTAAATATAGTCACACTGACCAAACAAACATGTCGACACTCTTTTAAGAATTGCTATTATGGTCCTTCTAACCATCGTCGCCTACCGACTACGATCCCTCCTACCACCGTTGCCCGTCAACTATAGTTCACTCCATCCATCAACGCTTGCCGACTACGATCCTTCCGACCATCGCCGCCCGCCGACTATGATCCTTTTGATCTCCGTCACCCAAATATAGTTCTATTAATCAAACAAACATGTCAATACTCTTTTAAGAACAACTATTATGTAACAAGCTCTATACAATGTATATTTGCTACATAAAGCCTCCCCCAGTGGATTCATTCAAACTGGGCTAGGTCCTGTGGTTTTTTCCTTTTCAGTGTTTTCCACGTAAAAATTTTGGCCTCTTATGAAGGCTACACTTTTATGTTTTATTTGTTTATGTGTTGGATCTTTGTACAAAGCTAAGACGTTAAATTTTATATCTCTCTACTGCCGCGAATGTTCCACGACGTAACAATACTTAATATCATTAAATTTGAAAGATTTGCATATTTTAAAGTTCATTTTGATGGTGGAATCAAACAAATATCAAAATTTTCTTTGGTTCTGTTTGACATTGCTTTTTATTTTTGCTTATTTTTGCTTTCGACTACATTGCCAGACCATAGCTTCTTTCAGGCTATGACCACTTGTTTGGTGGCAATATTACCATATAAATTCTATGAGAAAGTAGAAGAAGGAAGCATTGTGCTCAAGCAATCAAAGAGCTTTGAGTTTTGTAAGGAGGGAATCATTGTTGAAGGTGACTCAACACCGATTAAGGCTGATTTGGTGATATTTGGCACAGGGTTTAAGGGTGATCAGAAGCTTATTGACATATTTGCATCCCCACTATTTCAAAATCTCATGGCTGGCTGCTTGGACTCTACTGTCCCTCTATACAGGTACTATGCTTCATTATTTTGCTGAGACTTGGTGATGATTAGATCATCTTCATTGTTGTTTGTGACAATAGCACAAAATTGCTCGGGTCTTATGCCATCCTTTGACCAATATTTATATAACCTCAGAAAGATTACATAATAGAAACTATACACAATCTAAAGGAAAATTTTAGTTATACAATAAATTCGTGCATGCAGATTGATGAGATTGCATTCATGGGGATAGGTATCGATGAGATGGCAATCTAATCATAATTCATGGAGATTAATTTCATGAGCACATGGATCGATGAGTTGGGATGCTTGGAGCTAATACAGCCAAAATCATGGAGATTAATTTCCAATTAATTATATATGTTGATATCCCCTCAGATTGATGTTGGTTGGTCAACAAACATCAATTTGCTTAGAAGAAATTGATGTCTCTGTTTAATCAATTCCTTCATAAATATGTTTAAAATTTATTTGAAGGTTTGTGGATGTATGAGCAAGAGAAATCATACGAGTATCAAAAAAATTTTAGATTAAGTGACAATCAACTTTAATATGTTTAGTCCTCTTATGAAGCACCAGATTGACAATAATTTGAATGACTAATGTATTATCAGCATGTAGAGGAGTGAAATTTTCTCTAGGAAATTGAATTCGGATAGAAGTCTGATAGGAAATACTTGAGTTCGCAAGTAACCCTAAGGGAAATACTTGAGTTCGCAAGCAAACTTATCTCTAATTGGTGAAAACAACGATATAATTGCAAAATCTGGGTGAAAACAGACCCAAAACAATGGATTGCGAGAAGAGAACAAAACCAAAACAATTTCCAAGCAAGGTACAATTGATCCTCAATTCGAGAGGAGGATCGTTCTCTCCCAATCTCTAGCAAGATGCCTAGAGCCCAAGACGCCAAAGAAACTCCAAGAGAAAAACTAACCCTAGACAATTCCCCCTCTTAATACAATTAGTTTCCTAATTCAAATATCTCATTCAAAAATTCCCTCTCTCCCTAGCCACCCAATCCTCCTTCTCCAAAAGTTCCATGCGGGCCCCACAACTGGGCGGAATCAAAGGGAGCGGAACCCCTTTTTCCGCCTCCTGTAATACTGAGCTGGCCTTTGGGCCGACTTCTGGGCCGGTTCAGGATGAATCGACCTATCAATACCGCCCTCCCAAAGAATCACCTTGTCCTCAAGGTGAAAACTAGGAAACTGCTGTTTTCACCCTCTCGTATAACTCTCACATGGCATCGTAGTCCGGTAGATTCTTCCACTTGATCAGCACTTCTTTCGCTCCATCTTCTTTCTGACGAACCCCCATCAACTCTAAGGGTTCCATAATCACCTCTAGATCCTTAGTAAGCGTGGCAGGTAACTCTGAGTTGGCTGTGTAATCTCCAATGGCTCTTCTCAGCTGTGACACATGAAAAACTGGATTAATAGTCTCCGTGGGTGGTAGTTTCAGCCGATATGCTATTGCTCCAATTTTTTTCCAATATTTCATAAGGTCCAAAGTATCTTGGAGCGTGCTTTTCATTTCTCCTGTTGCCAACTGTCTTCTGACGGTATGGTTGGAGCTTTAAGAACACTTTCTCTCCTGCTTCGAACTGGATGTCCTTCTTATGCCCATCAGCCTGTTTCTTCATATTTTGTTGAACTCTTAGTAGATGTTTCTTCAATTCCTCTAACATTCGATCCTTCTCATCCAAGTACTCATCCACTGAAGAAACTGTAGTACTGCTACTCCCAAAGTGCCCCAAGTGAGGGGGTCCCTTCCGTACAACACCTTGAATGGAGTCATCTGTGAAGTCGAGTGAAAAGAGGTGTTGTACTAGTACTCCGCCCAAGAGAGCCACTTGGCCCAAAGCTTGGGTGTCTCCGACACAAAACATCTCAAGGAGGTCTCAAAGCTCCTATTGACCAACTCCGTTCACTACAGGAAAATCACACAAAACCGGCGGTTTTTTCCGGCGGTTTGGTGAAAAAACCGGCGGTTTTGGAAGCTAACGGCGGGTATTGAACCGCCGGAAAAAATGGCGTAGGAAACTATTTTCCGACGATTTTTACCGACGGCTTAATTAGCCGATGGCGTTCCGGCGGCTTATACCGCTGGTTATTCTGTTGCTTTGTACCGGCGGTGTTCCGGTCGATCTACCGCCGGTCAAGATACTGACGTCGTACCGGCGGTACTTCAAAGACTGCTTACCGGCAATTTCGGTGACCTGCGTGAGGTTATTTAACCGTCGGGAAGCGTCAATAAACTGTCGGTAAAACACCGGCGGTTATCGGCGGTCCAGACCGACGGTAGTAACGGCGGTCTAGACCGCCGGGCTTTCAACGTACACCCGCTGGCGGTCGTCGGGTAACCGCCGGCATAGTACCGGCGGTTTAACGAAGTTAACGGCGACTGTTGAAAAGCCGTCTGGTATCATCGTTTCCGGCGACCAAACCGCCGGTTAGCCTCCGGAAACCTGTAGCACCTGCAAAAAAAAATTGACAGCCTCCCCTCTATATAAGGGAGGTTTACCCTAGATTCTAAAACCTGCACAGAAAACAATATATAACAAGATTTGGGCAATACGCCGCTATATTCAATCAACAAGATTTGGGCAACACGCCGCTATATTCACAACAATATACATAAGCACAACCAATATTGAACATTACATAAAACATAAGTTCAGAAGTTTACCAATGATAAGCACAACTAATATGTTCAACCTTAAAACATAAGTTCACAAGTTCAGAATTTCACAAATTCACAAAGTCACAATAAACATAAGTCACAAGTTCTACTCCTCATCTGTATCCTCGCTGTCTCGAGATGTTCGTCGCTGCTCTTATTCTTGCTTCCTCTGATTTTCAACTCTGTAGGATTGCAGCTCTGTTTGCATTTCACTTTGAACCCTTCTCATTTCTTTAATCTCTCTAATCAATGCTGCAACCCTATGACTCACAGTTTCTTCAACTCCAGTACTTGGATCATAAAATGCTGAGGTGGATGAACTGCCCTCATACGCATAGCCCTATGAACTCAAGCCATATATCCTCCCCTTCTGTCTTCCACCTACAACATCAGACCAAGTATGATACTCAGAAGTGTGGGCTGATCCTGAAGATGATCCCTCGCCAGTGGAATGGCGGCTTTCTCGAGCCCGTACAAAATCATCCTGCGAGAATACAGCCATAAAATAAATTATAATTTGATATTACAATTAGTTTTATTAAAATAATTTTTATTCCAAATTTCCATAAAAAATTACTCACATGAGCCTTCTTAGCCTTTTCATCAACCCACTGATGATCAGCTTGATGTTGATGAGTTCTTGTATGCAACTCCAGTGGTGTTGGCTCTCGACCAAGGGACTCTTTCTGAAAATTTAAGAAATAGTTATAATAACATAAATATATTTAATAAACTAATTTAAAACTTTTACCAGTCGCCGTCTATGTTCCGTATGAGGTACCGATCTACCAGTATGAAGAGAGCTTCCTAAATCTCTACAGTTAGAGGCTCTGTTCTGTTTATTCTGCTCTCTCATTTTTACAAACTCAGGGGTCACCAAAGCACTACTCAAATCAGCCCAAACGCCCTCTCCAATCCAATTAGGACGCTGCCCGGACTTTCTAATATCCGTGAACATGTTCCTGAGACGGGTCGCTCCTCTCCTCTCAAAATTCATTTTGATCCTCGTGCTGTGCTCAAGCAACCACCTAAATTCTTTATGTAAATATTTAGACAATAACAAAAATATTAGTACAAATTAAATCACATATTTGAAATCATACCAAAAAAAGTATACCTGAAATTCTCCAAACCACATATCTCTATCTGGCTTCGAAATCTTCTTCCAGGATAACTAAGGAGCATCTTATTTATTCTTTATTATATCCCGGATCATATGTATAGGTGGCCTTGAAGGATTGAAGCTGCAGGTAACTTTTTTTGTCAATAACATGTAATATATCAAAATAAAAACAACTTAATAACTTAAATTGAACTTACTTATCGTCCTCAGGCTCAATGTATTAACGCTTATCTGCTGCAGCTGTATGATCGCTATCGCCAATCTCTGGTGGTCTTGATGGTCCACCCTGTTCATGCTGCACCGGATAGGGGTAGTAATATGGGTAGGAGTAAGGAGGACGTGGACCAGTGGATGGACCTTCTACTTGTGATGATGGTGGAGGGTAATATGGATAGAATGGAGAGGCACGTGTCTGATCTGGAGAGGGGTAGTGAGGACTCATCGAGGGAGGAGGGAAGTGGCCAGGGAAGTATGAAGGTACAACAGCAGGTGGATCTGACTGACCCTGACCTTGCTCACTCGGGGAATGCTGCTGGCTCCTGACAGGTGGTGGCGGTGGTGGTGTAGGTAGATCTGGTGGAACTGAAGGCCCCTCACCTTTCTCAGGCTGTGTGGCTCTGCTAGCCGTAATCTTCTTCCGGCGGAACTTTGAGGCAAATGATTTACGAGGAGGATCATCGCCTGAAGCCATCTACAATATTAAAAAAAATAATTAATAAAACATTGTAAACAATTAATAAAGCAGGTAATGAATTATGAGAAGCAGTTAATAATACAGGTAATGAATTATAAAAAATAGTTAATAAAGTAGTTAATGAATTACAAAAAGCAGTTAATTAATTACAAAAAGCAGTTAATAAATACAAGTTGGAAAATAACAATTTCATTTCTTAGAATTCAAAAAGTACTATTCAAAATATTACAAAATATTAAAATTCTACAATTCTAAATTATAAAAATTAATCAGAATCATCAAAACTATTTTCATTGCTCTCAAGGGTATCTTCACTTTCATCCTCGTTCTCATCTTCGCCTGAACTAGTTGAATTATTCACATCTTCTAACTTCATTTCAATAGTATAGGTTGTAGTTGTCATCTCCTCAGTTTCAACAGGCCTACAACTTAACATCTCATCCTCTTGATGTGCAGTTGCTACAATGTATTGTTGATCAATTATTCCTCGTGCTTTTATTTTTATGACAGCTAGTCAATCTTGTTTGTTTATACGACCACTGGAATATTTGCTGAAATAAACTTGAATACCTTGACTTGCTAACACAAATGGATCAAACTTCCCGTATCTTCTACTATGTTTTACATCTACTAAACCATACGCAGGATGAACCCTTGTGTCTCTATTCTGTACTAGATCATACCATTGATAGTTAAACAAGCATACAAAGTTCTCATCTTTGCCTGGGTATTCCAAATCAAAGACCTCATTCAAAATACCATAATAATCACACTCATCTTCTTCATGAATGTTCCCTCTAACACATACTCCACAATTTTCAGTTTTTCTTCCTTCACTCCATGATTTGGTATGAAATCTGAACACATTTACTGTATATATTGGCCAAGTTTTTATTTTTCGCATTGGACCCCATGCTAGTGCTTGCAAATCTTTATCGAAACATTTGTTATCAGGGTTTTGTACCTAGAAATATTTTCAAATATTAATATTTTTTATAATAAATAAGATTTAAATTTGTAAAAAAAATGTGCTCACATATGATCTGAACCAAGTTGAAAATTCATTTGCAACAGCTTGCTCAATATCCCTCGAATCTGTCAAAGGCAAATTGCTTACGAAATACCTGATGATAAATAATACTTTAGTATTTTAAATAAACATTACTAAT